ACTGGAAATTCAAGTTTTTGGGCCACTATTTGATATTACGCTTTCTTGCCCACCTTTAAGTTTGTATAACATCATTTGAAACTTAATCTTATCTCTACAAATTAGCAATAAAGCCCAATAGATATCAACTTTCCAACTTAATCCCAAAAGTACCATATACATAAGTCACCAAACCACCACCCTTAATTTTTTCCTCTAAGATTTCTACTTATATGTATCCTTCCAAACACTGTCATCTCTGATCTTTAGTTGTCTTGATCTATTCTTGATCTTCGAATAGATTACTTTTCATGCTTAAGGAGGCCAAACTAATTTGGAATATATATAAGAGCCCAGATACTTTTCTTAGAGTTATCAACCTCGTTATCCTCAATTAGGAACCCATGCTTAATGCCTATTTATGGGACATCTAACGAAAGGCATTCAGCTCATAAGAATGATAGATGGTTTGTGAAGAAAAACTTTTGCTAACCAAATATTCTTGGTGGCTTGGCTCGACATTTCTTTGTTATGTATCAAGTAATCCTCTCTTCCTTTTGTGTCTATTAGGATTGTTTTATCATCCTTTATTTATTACATAGAAAATACATAGCTATTCTCATTTTGCAAAGATTTGATGCACATTATTATAGCAAAGGTATTTGATGCACATTATTATAGCAAAGGTATTTATGCACTTACCAACTTATTAACAAAGTATATATGAAGCAAAGGTCTGGGAGGATCTAATATAAAGAGTCTTCAAGGTTAGTTTTCAAAGGATGTATTAAGCTACCTTGGGTACTTGTTCTTGTGATGGAGCATCATGCGTATATAAATTCCAACCAATTATATGCAACTTTTTGGGGTGCACTCCTTTTATTGTGTCACATTATCATTACCAATCATGGTTTGTCATGTGTTGTTTTGTGCTGTCGTGGGAAAGCCTTTTTATTATCTTGCAACCACAAAGAGGCACAACAATATCTACTAACATGATCCCCTTTTGATACACAATATATTACTATTTCTTATTACAAATACATGCATATTTTACACTTATTCAAACAATCCTTCATCCTCATATCTATTCTTTGATGCAAATGCTAATAAAAAATCATGGATCTAAGATCATGGGAATTATTGGAGATAAACGATGGGAGTAATAGCTTGGTAAAAATAGATTGATGAACATTGCTCACCTATCGAAGTATAGTGTTTAAGCCAACAAAGCTTGGGGTTAGTGTTGTTGCTTGTCTTCACTAGGAAAGTATGGGCAGCAAATGTGTAGATGCAGAGCTTGCTCCCAAAAATTATATTATTTGATGCTAACTATAATGCTTGCAATCTTATTGAAGCCTAACTAAAGATGTCATTTGGGTCACCATTGCCAATTGACACAAGTATTTAATGCATGAATGGCTGCACAAGTTTCATCATGTTGGTAATTGACAAAAATGATTGTAATTTGTTTGGAAAATCTAGATAAAAAATATTATAAGTTGTCTAAAAAACCCGGAAAGATCTTGAAAAGTGAGAGGTTGGTAGTAGCACTCAAATATACTCCAAAATTGGTATTGTGTACAAACTCAAAAATACTAAGAATGGCATGGTTGCAATGGACTAGCAATCCTTTGCTAAAAATATTAGAAAAATCATGATTACATATCAAGATTTGTCAAGTTATCCAGTAAACTCAAATCTTGACACCTACCCTCACACAATGTATATCTAGTTGTTATATTGTTAAACAACCCTAACATTATATAAAATTACCAAAATTTCACTACTTATATAGATATATATATATATTTTTGTTTTTTCCTTCATTTTTGACATAAGAGAACCATTTTTCAACAAATTTTACACTCTTATCTCCATCTTTATCCTCTTAACTCTTTCACTAAAAAGTGTCAAAGTGGTAAACCTTCATTTTCTCTCAACTTAAGCTCACACACACATACTCCTTGGAAACCTCCATTTTCTACATTTCCAAACATGCATCTCACTATACCTAGAAGATCACACATTGCAACTTGAGGTTTTGCTTCATTTTTCTTGAGCAATAGTGGATTAACAACAACAACAAGGTTATCATCAACAAATGGGATCAAGTCCTCCAACAACAGCTTCCATATTGGTCATCCTTCCTTATCCTATCACTACTCTCTAATTTATTTCTTCTTATGTCCACAAATTAGAAGAAGATTATTGTATTTTGAAATCCAAAATGAAGGTTACTTATTTTAGAATAAGAATATTTTAATGGATAGTATAAAGCAAATCTATTGTGTATTTTATTACTCCACAATATACTACATAGGAATGTGCTTATCTTGTCGTGTAACTTAAATTTTCATTTTTTTAAACCAAGATGCTCTTACTGTAATGTTGCTTACCTGTCCAATTCTTTTTGTGGTTGTGTAATTGTTATCTTGATACATTGTCACTATTTGGCTCTTCTTATTTGGCTATACAAAGTTATTCCTTGACTTTGCTGGAGATATTACTCAATTCATCATCGCTAAAGAAGATAACTCATGGCACGTAACTTTTTGCACATGAAACATGTACAACTAAAAGAATTATTCTCATCTTCCCATATGGTATCCTAATCAACTTCCTCATCATTTCTGCATTGCCAATTCATTAAGCTCTTACCACAACATTTAATATTTTCATTAAAAACATTTAAATGTTTAATTATGAAGAAATAAAAAGTATAAGTACTTCATACTTTAAGAAACTATAAAGAATATCAAAATATATGTTAATGTAGTTAACCAATGGGAGCTTAGTCAAGGTGGCATACTGACTAACTTGGAGACAAACTAAGATTTTGGGATTTAGGATCTTACTTTGCCTAAATTTTAAGTTTATGGCAAATAACCTAAATAACTCAATAATAATCTCTTTCTAATGAAAGTAGAGTTCAAATCACATAACATATTGTTAAAATAGTAATTTGGATGAGAAGTTATAATTAAAAAATGCATGGGTAAAATTCATTATATTGTTAAACTAATAAATTATGTTAAGAGTATGAAGGATTGAAGTAAGGAATTTGCATTAAGTAGAAGAAAAAAAAGGGGAAATATTTGAAGTTTCCCCAAAAAAAGAAAAAAGCATACAAATATTTAAATATATATATATATGTTTGGTGTTAGAAAAAAAATGGCTTAGTGGTTTCTTTTTATCTTTTTTTTTTTTCATTTTTTGTTTCAGGGGTTTGGTGGCTTTCCAAAATTCTAATTATGAATTTAACAAAAGAAAGTAAAAGTAGGATTAGACAGTAATTTTAAAAAGGTTTAGAACAATTTTTTATTCAAGCAAAAGATTGACACAATATTTAATATTTATGATAAAGGTTATAAATTAAATCTAATATTTATCCCATATACTAATAACGCAAGAAAAGGAAGCTCGTTGGGGTTGGGGTTGGCCAATTGGTTAGGAATATGGAGAATAATAATAAAATACAAGATTCAAATTCCAACATTATCATTTGGCTGCAAGTAATTCTAAAGGATGATGCCCACTACCCATGGCTAAATGTTTGCCAAGTAATATATATACGAACGAGAAAACTTATAGATGCCTATTGGACTAGTCAGGCTAAAAGTTTGAATACTTATGCTATAAATATATAAATAAAATAAACTTTAAAAAAGCAAAGTTGCTAGTTATTTGAAAATATGATTTTTAGTCATATAGCCAAGATATTTTGTGCATCTTTTATGGAAAGCTGGTAGATTATTAGCATATAAACATCTCTTATCTTTACAAATTAGCAATAAATCCAAATAGATATCAATTTTCCAAGTTAGTTCCAAATTACCATATATACACTAGTCACCAAAACATCACCTTTAATTTTTTTCCATTAACGGTTTGCTTGATATATATCCACCCAAATACTCTTATTTCTCATCTTTGCTTGTCTTGATTTGCTCTTGATCTCCTAATAGAATACTTTTCTTGTTTTAGGAGGCTAAACTACTCTTGAATATGGCAGCCCAATCATTTTCCTTAGGGTCATAATCGTCATTATTCTTAGTTGGGAACCTATTCCCAATACTTGTTTATGTGATAGCACTTGTTGATGACCACACTTAAAATTTAAAACATTAAGGTGAGAAATATATAATAAAAGGGGTCATCACTCATCCAAATTATAAGATAAGACAAGTCACCTAAAAATAGGTCTCCAGAGAGATCAATGTTCAAGGATTCGGTTAGGAGTGAGGAAGAGCATGCGCACACCTCACAATCCTCCGTTTAGACACGATTACATACTTTAACAGTAGAGTTTTAATTCAACTTATTCATTATGTTTATGTTTAAGTCTTAATAAGCCAATTTTTGAAAAAAGGATAAACCAAATTGAAACATTTCTTTTTTAATTTTTGAACTAAAACGGATAAAATCAAAGACATGCATGCATCATAAGCACAAATGAAAAATTAAAGGGAATAATTTGATTAAGTTTGAAACATGGAGGACAGATTTGATTAAATTCAAAACGTGGATGATTGATTTGAAAAGACTTGAGACCCGTGGACTAAACTGCATAATTATAAAAATTTTGGGTGAAATTGAAATGAAAAAAATATAATTTTGACTGTCACTAATATTAAAGGAAATTAAAGGAAATTAAGGATTTCAAGTAATTAATATAATAATTAATCATATTATTAATCTTTAATTAAGATAATTAAATAATATAATTACCTTAAATTAAAATCAATAAACATGATTAATTCATTTTAATTAAAATTAATTAATTTTACTAATCATAAATTAAATGAATTGTCTTAATTAATTAATTCCTCTCATTTATATTATTTTTTTTTACCTTTTTTTTTACTTTTTTTTTTTACTTTTTAGGTTTTTTTTTATTGGATTAAATCGGATCTACCTACCCAAAAACATGATCCGAGTACAAAAAATAGACCCGAAGCAGATTAAACATGCAAGAACAAGAAAACTAGGTTTCATCTAATTCCAAACGGATTTCTACAGAATATACATTCAAATCCAGATTCCACAAATATTCATAGCATAATAGCAAATCCATTGTCCATTTCTCAATGATTATACATAGATTTTCAACATCAATCACCAGAAGAATACATCATAGAGGAATAACAAATCTAAAGTGGAGATTTCAAGAGAAAAATGGATCCAGATCTGAACAAAGGAACCCCACCCAGGGGATCAGGCTCTGCTCATCACCTTCACCAGCCCTCTCGAAGTCTCTTGGTTCCAGAAAATTACCTAGGAAAGGGGAAATTCCTTCTCTAACTGATGATCACACTAACACCAAAATACTCCTCTTTTCTTCCTCTGCCGTCAACACCAAACCCAGGCAAAAGGAAAAAAAAAAACCTGTTTCAAATCTAAAACCCTCTATTTATACCCACAAAAGCAAAGGCAAAAATTCCCCTCTTCCTAGCCTTCCGATCTGGACCCCCCTTTTTTTTATCGTTGATTCTCCAAGTACTTGAGACAGCTGCTGATTTTTGCAGGTTGGAAAGCAAAGGACCGAGCCCTTCTTTTTTTTTTTTTTTATTTGTCTTTTGTACAGGGCTCCTGGAGTGACAGAGTAGGTACAGAACGGGTTGCAGGGGTAGGGCGCAGCAGTGCAGAAGCAGGACCGCAGCAGCAGAGTACAGCAAGCAGGAGGTGCGGCAGCAGGGTGCAGCAAGCACACGGGGCGCAGCAATGCAAGGGCGCAGGAGCAAAGTGTAGGAAGCAGGGGCGCAGGTGTGCAGGCTCGGTGCAGCAAGCAAGGGCGCCGGCGGTAAGGGGCGCATCAGTAGGGTGCAGCAAGCACAGGGGGCGCAGGGGCGCAGGCGCAAAGTGTAGGAAGCAGGGGCGTAGGCGTGCAGGCTCGGTGCAGCAAGCAAGGGCGCTGGCGGTAGGGGGGCGCAGTAGCGGGGTCGGCGCAAGCGGTAGGTTTGAGAAGGAAGCTGGTTCGCGAGGAGAAGATTCTGGAAGAAGAGGGAGAAGGCCGTGGTGAGGAAGAAAAAGGTTCT